GGCGGGCCTTCTCTGCTGTAGCCCCCGCCCTTTGGAATATCTTGGCCCAGGAGGTAAGATTGGCCCCTTCACTCCTGGCCTTCTGGAGAGATCTGAAGACCTGGGTCTGCCACTTGGCCTGGGGTGGGGTGGGAAGACTCCAAGTGTGGGGATGGCTAGCCCCTTAGAGGCCTGTCGTCTGCAGCTCTGGAAACCTTATCTTCAGCCTCTTGAACTTTTTCTTTTCTTTCGTTAATGTTTTGTATAGTTTTCATGTTTTATGTAATTTTATATATATTTATTGTTTTAACGGTTCTTGTGAGCTGCCCAGAGTCCCTCATTTGGGAGAGATGGGCGAAGATAAATCTAATAAATAAATAAAAATCTCTAGAAATAATTGTGTCAGGTAGAATGTTTTGGAATGTGATGTCCAATAAAAGAAGATTTGATCCTTTTTCCCATGCTAAATTGACTTTATGGGGAAATTCAACTTTAAAAATTGGGAAAAAGATATGGAAAAATTGGATGGAGGTGGGGATATTGACTTTGGACCAACTGATAGATGATGAAATTGAATTTTTAACATATGCTGTGTTAAGAGATAAATGTCAACTATCAGATGTAGCCCAATGGCAATATTTACAATTGCAACATTTGTTAACAACTTTGTGTGGACCAGCAGCATTTTCAGCTTCAGAGACACAAGATACTAGAACAACTTGTTAAATCCTTTAAAACTAAAAAAAACTACTATTAGTTTTTATAGATATTTGTTATCAATAAATCAATTTGATATGCAGATGTTAAGAAATGAGTGGAATAAAGAATTAGAGGTTCTTATATTGCCTAGACAATGAGAGAGTGTTTTAACTTCTATATCAAGAGTGTCAATGGACCTTAAACTAAGATGTATACAACAAAAAAATAATATTTAGAGTTTATTGGACAGCATTATATTTGAATAGAAAAGGTGGTACACTACAGACTCATTCCCAGTAATATAATAGCAGCACTGGACATTTTTTGTCATAGTATCTTCAGTGATCTGCAGTTAGTGGAAAAGAATTTCTGTGTCAAACATTGTGCCTTTTGCTTTCCGTCACAGGCCTTAATGAGGCTTATGTTAAGGTTTTAAAGGTTATTTTTTACATTTGATTAAAACTCTTCTAGAACTGATCTAGGAGATCTTCAGAGACAGCACATGTTTTCTTCACTTACAGAGCAATTATTATTATTGTTATTGTTATTGTTATTGTTATTATGTGTCATCTCAGTTTACAGCATTGCATTTCCACATTCTGAAGAAAATAATCATTCCAAAAGGAATTGCTAGCGTGGAACAACATATTTTTGTGGTTTGGCTCATGGAAGTTAAGTCCATAACTCTGTAGTTATCCAAAGTTGGTTTCTAAACTAAATGTACAGGCCAAATAAGAAAATGTATTGTAAGTGCATAGTTCCAACAACTAAAAAAAATGTGCACTATGTTGCAATGGTAATTGTGATATTGCACAGAACTATATATATTTTTGTTTACAAATTACATCTCCATGAGTGAAATTAATGTTTCTTGATTTAAAAATAATATAGCAAATAAAATGTATGCCCTAGGATAAAGAAAGTAAGTTGCATTTTTAACAGGGCTATCAGGCCTGGGCTGCAAAATCTAAATGATCAGTAGATGACAGAAACTGTCTAATTTCTATATCTCTTTGCTGCCATCTAGTAATTTTCTGGATTTTTGCAACCTATAGAGAGTTGCCCTAGTTTTTACATAACTGAATTTAAGTTTGTTTCATCTTAGGCCACTCCCTTGCTAACTCATATTACATTGGATTGGAAAATAAGCCAGCTAGTCCCTCATTGTTAAAGTTGAAGAACCTGTAGCTCTCCAGATGTTTCTGAACTACATCTCCTAGCAGCTCCAGCCAGGACTACCAATGCTGAAGGAATTGTATCTATGAAACAATATCTGGAAAGTTATATATTTCACTTTTTTATGGTAATATCTGAGAAAACTAAATTTCCCAAGTGCCACTGGGGCTTTTTTCCAAGAATGAATTAATATTTTATTAGAGTTCCTGACCAGAATTGCAAACACATTAAAAATGAAAATAGACTAAAAACAAAACAGGATACAATTTTTTTTCCTGGAATTCTAGCAGTAGATCATAGAGCCAATTCGATACTTCCCTGCTGCTTTCAGTTACCAACCCTGCTACAGTACAACATACAGTGTTGCCAGATTCTGCACAGCAGTGCTCAAAATTCATCGAATGATGACCCGTGACATAAACTAGCCTTAATGAACACCTAGGTCACCATATTGGAGTGCTTTATAATTTGATATAGTCTTCCACATACTAACCTTTTATGCTTCCCTACACCCATCTAAATGCTCCTACCCTTTTTAGATTCTTATAGACTTTTATATATACTTTCTGCTTTAATATTTTCTAGTTTTTTATAATTTCTTTTTAGACATGGATGTATCTTTTATGCTTTTTAATTGACTGTAGCCCATCCTCCTTATGCTGGTCTATGACTATAATAACGATTTGATTTGATTTGATTTGATTTGATTTGACATAGAGGGAAAGAAAAGAGGAAGTAGTTTTTACAGAATTCTCTTTCCTCAGCAGCTAAGAAAAGCAGAGGAAAGTTAAGGAAAGCAAAGTTGAGGAATCTGCAGTCCTGTTTTCTGAGGTGGGCATTATAAGCCTCTGAAACTTGTGGATGTCAAAGATTTCTAGCCACAAGCAAGTTATCACATTGTTCTCATTAGGAATATAGCACAATCCCATCCATATTTACTCAGAAGTAATACAAGTTTACCCAAGGATTTACCTTAGGTACAAGTAACACACTCTGGATCAGAGCTTACAAAGAGGTTTTTAGCCATTTTGTTCAGTCAGAGAACAAGTCATCCATGATATATTTATTTTGAACATGTTTAATGATTATTACATAGAATGATAAAAATCTGCATATTGACATTTATTGATCACCCAACCATTCAGACAAATTGATCCATATGAGGCATCATTTTTATTAAAACAACACTGAAGAAGTTTTCATGGGATTCCAAGACAAGGACAGGTCACAGATTATGAAGCTACACAGGACACTGACTCACATTGATCTCCTAAAAGCAAAGGCTGCAGAGCCACAGGTTCAAAGATACTCTTTTTCCACCCACACAAGTAGCCGCAAGCTTTTTCTGCATGCTGAACAGAAGGCAACCAAGATGGTGGTGAAGTTTCAATTCTGCCAGGAGTTGAGTCTCATTTCTTTTTACAAGCTCATCCTTTCTTGTCAAGTTGTAGCACTGTGTTAAACCATTTTAACTGTTTATTGAATTTTGTTGCCTGTTGTTTTTTTTACTGTCAAGCTCTCCTTTCTTATTCCATACAGAGGGAGATAAGAGGCAAAACACACACAGTCCTCATGCAAATGCTACAGTTTATGTGCTTGATGACATGTTGGGACACAAGCACGTAATTGCAGGAATTGCACAGTGCCCTACCATGGACGTGTTGCAATTTTGGCATCCTTGGGGTTTGGTGCAAACTCTGCTGATCTTGTGACTGAAATGATAAAAATATAATCTCCCAGAGTTTTGGGGGGTGGGGGGTGGGGGGTGGGGAGAGATTCACATATGATTATCCCTTTGTAATATGCTCTCTCAGCATACGGATCTGGTGACTGGGTCATGACAGCAGGTGCTAAAGATCATGGCTGCTCATGATATAGTCTCTAGCATCAGGTAGTGACTAACAAATGCGTTCAGATAATAATCTTAATTCTTTCTTCTCTACTAATTTCCCAGCTTTGAATTACCTTCAAGCTACTTTTACCATATATGTGTTTCCCCATTCAGGGGACAATTTGGAAGGAGAAAACTGGCATTCCGACGCCCTGGCTCCATGCTGCCTCTTATCAAAAAAATGCAAAGGTTCCCTATCCAGATAGAACAATTTCTCCGTTTCCAGTTTTCTGGGGTACACAAATGGAGAGCAGTGAAAACTTCACATGGGTAGGGGAGTTAATACATATGAGGTTATCACCACTTCCCTTTCTCATACAATGGGAATGTATGTTATGGATCTGAAGGATATGAGCATGATATCAAAGTTTGGAACAAATGATCCTTGCACTTTTTCCATTGTCACTCCCAAGCTGTGAAACACCTTCTCACAGAAGTTGTGCGTAGCTTTCCTGGCTGAAAAGCCAGGCCTTTTGATGTCAACAAATCTTGTTCAACTACAGGTTAATTGTTTTATATTCTGTGTCTGCTGCTTGTCAGTCATCTTGAACAGCCTAGAACTGAAAAGATGAAGTACAAAGCAGAAAGAAGAGATCAATATATACAGCGTTTTACCAGTTTGTCAGTGCTACTTAATCCCAAGTGTACATAACATCTTGATGCACCATTTGCACCAGGATGACCCTGATTCAGCTACAGTCATGCTGCCTGGTAAACAGCTAGTCAACCAGGTTGGAAGGTGCTTTCCCACCCACTTCTTCTTTAGGTGTGTCATTCAATTTAAATAAAATCATTTTGATTGGGATAGCCAAGTCATATTTTTATTTTTACCAGGCCCATCATTTAAGCTCAGCAGAGATGACATAAGCAGAGGTATGTCTGTGTTGGACTGAAAAAAGTCTCTTAACAAAAGAGATAACTAGGTCCCAGAACTCTTAACCACTTCACACCTGGCAATCACTTAAATATGTCTAGACCAATTCACTTGAAGTGGCAACTGACCATGTATATCCTTTTCATACTTCATTTATATTCAACTTTTTAAGCCAACAACCTTAGAAGCATTTTTTCCAGTGGAGAGTAAGTGAAGCATAATATCCTTCATTTCTCACATCAGTGATAGGAAGATAATTACTAAATACTCCTCCCTAGATCAGGATATGGTAATTGGTTGGCTTTTTAAAGGAGCTGAGGCCAGCAACAAGAAGGATGGTTAAAACAACCTCTTTCTGAGGTCAGATGTTGCACTGATTAATCACAATGACATCTCTTGTTTAGGGGTATGCCCATTCAGCAGGGTAGTCATAGCAACAGTGTGCCTGGCATGGTTTTCCAATGAAGTCATTCTAATGGCTGAGGAATTGTTCAGGTAACTGGCAGACCTCGACTGAGGATGCATCCTGTGGCAGCAAAGTTGGCTATTGAAGTGTCGCCGAAAACTCTCACTGAGGAAGTACAAGGCAAACGGGTTGACACAAGAATTGCAGAAGCTCAACACTCGGGCCAACAAGGTAATGACCATGTGGCCAAGGGATGGGTCAATCTTACGGTGATTAAAGGACCGATACATGTATAGCACGTGATTTGGCAGCCAGCACACAGCAAATAGCCCAACAAAAACCAGGACAATCTTGGCCAGGCGCTTTCGAGTTTCCATCTAGAGTGAGCAAATAAGCAGAAATTAACAATTCCACAAAATAGCTGATCCAAGCATATGCTTTCCTTCAGTTTCCACAAGGCATTGTTCAAGTATGAACAGGAAAGTTAATTCCCAATTAAACCTTTAATGCCAATTAATCCTCACATGTTTTCAGATGCTCATGCATGCAGGATTAGACTACATATACTACTGCAGATAATTCTGCTGACATCTTTAATTTTACCAATGGCATCTGAAAAAGAACAGGTGGCAAAGTTCACAGAGCTTGTCCAGCCACCCTAGAGAGGTCAAAATGCAAGTTTTGCCAGCTATCAACCCAAGCCCTGTTAAAACAAGACCATCGACAACTGAACTCAACTGATTAAAATTTAGAAGAATGATGAGGGATGAGCATAAGGAATATCCTTTTCCTGATTCTCTCTTATCAAGGACTGAATTGTCATTGATTCACAATCCTATAGTGAACTTATACTTCTCACATTCATACGATATGTTTTATCAGGAAGATACTGCAGGTCAACATTCCCCAGATGTGTTGGGACTGCAACTCCCAGAATTCCCTACTCAGCATAGTGTTTATCTGAAGAATTCTGGAGCTTTAATCCAAACATTTCCAGAGGGCAATCAATTAGGGAAAATTAACTTAGAGTAGTGCAAACCGTTTTCCCAACTAAAAATCTGGCATTCACAATGTGCATCATTTTAATAAACAAAGCATATGCCAATTATAATTGCCCAAATACATTATTCTGAAGCAATCTTTCTTGAAATAAGGGCCACTGCTCAAGGCTGAAGCTTATAACAGCTGGGCGTAAATTATCTGTGGACCACAGGGTTGTAATCCATTTCCAGTAGTGCTTGAAGGGCTGCTTAAATGGTTTTCTCCTTCTGAAGCAAATGCAATAGGAATATACAGGGTGTTCCATAAGTAATAGAACACCAAAATTAAAAAGTAACTCAGAAAAAAAAAAAGGAACTTTGATTTTAAAAAGATCAATGTGCAGGAGATGATGATGATGATGAAGAAGAAGAAGAAGAAGAAGAAGAAGAAGAAGAAGAAGAAGA